TATATATATCTTATATATTTCGCGTGTGTTTTCAAATTCGTACGTAAGAACGAATCACGTATGTTAATAATTTAATTTTCTTAACAATTAAAATATAAAATTATTTTGTTTAACATTTGTTATTTTTTTTCTTCGTTTTTTTTTTTTTCATAAAAAAAAAGCACATAAAAATTGTGCTGTGATCGTTGCTCTCTCTCTCTCTCTCTCTTTCTCTTCTCAACTCAAAATTACAAATGTTATTTATAAAAATTACAAACATAAATTCACAACAAATTGTTAAAACATTTATTTAACTTAAAAAAACTTTTCGTTTCTCTATTTCATAATAATTCTTATTATCTTCTATTGTAATTATTTAAATGTGAAAAAAAAAAAATAAGAGAAAGAGAAAAAGAAAGAGAAAATGAATGAGAAGAAAAAAAAAAACAAGAAAAAAAAATGACTCGTTAAGTGTGACACGGATGCGGGCTACTTTTGTATATATATATATATATATATAATACATATACATATATACATAACGCGTGAAAAATAATGTGATTTTACTTTTACATGACCAGTGCTACACATAAATATATATATATACAGTTATAAACATATACACATACACGAATAACATAAAAAAGCACTCATTTAATCCGCAAAGGATATGTGATTTTACTTTTAAGACCAATCCGTGCTAAGTCGTTTTTTACAGTTAGGAATTTGCCAACGCAAAAGTTATAAAATAAAATAAAATAAAATAAAAAGAAGAAGAAGAAAAAGAAGATGGTGATAATGATGAATAAAAAGAACGTATCATACTTTTGTTCACTTTTAAAGGATCCGCTTGTTGTGCCTAACTTGCACGTCGATCAAAAAAAGTGACCATTAATAATAAATAAATAAATAAATAAATAAATAAATAAATAAATAATAATGCTAATAATAATACTAATAATAAATCTAGTAATAACACTAGTAACCTTAATAATAATAATAATAATAATAATAATAAAAACCATACAGAGATTGTTTCAAAGATGTTCTTGCAATAGAAAAGAAAAAATGGCATGTGAATGACAATTAAAGGTTTAAAAATAAAAAAAATAAAATAAAAAGAAGATGAAAGAAAAAAACAAACAAAATGGAAGTCCAAGTTTGATGCATGATCGTGTACGGTGATAATAAAAAAAAAAAACATATTTTCACGTGAAAAATCACACACACACGTAACGTGTCAAAAATTCGCTTTATTATCGTGTTGAATTTGGCGTCTGTTGTGTTAGAAGAAATATGATGTGCGAAAATAAGAAAACGAGCGTATTATTATTATTATTGTATAATAATCGATAAATTTAGTAGAGATTATATAATTAGGGGGCCCAGAGACTTATTTATAAATGTGTTGAGACAAATTTCACAGTAGTGTAACAAAGATCGTCGTAGAGATTTCAATCAATCGTGGCATTAATTATGCGATATTAGCGAAGGACGACACTTCTATAATAAATGACAAATTTTCTTCGATGTGTTTGAATTAAGAACAAACAAAACAACAAAAATGAGAAAGACAATTCTCTCGTTGATTGTGTTTAGTTACTTTTTTTGTTTTCGATCTCGCTTGAAAGCAAAACAGAACAAACAAACAAAAATATTAGTACTTACACGATGCTTTTTTTTTTATTATGTATGTATCGAGCAAATTAAGTTAAATTTTTCTTTTTTATTAACATTTTCGATTTTGTTTAACTCTCTATAGCTACCCTCCGCCCCTCGTCCCCGTCCCCGTATATATGATGCTAATACGAAGTTAATAATATGATAGAGTTATGTTGCATCTTGAATGAGCAATATGTAGGGTAGAGGTAAGGAATAACATTTCTGTATATGAAAAGTGTCCATTGACATGCATTCAATTCGGGTGACGTCACAGTTCCTACACGGTAAATTTTTAAAGGAAGCATTATTACATAATTCGGCATACTTCAATACCTACTACGTTCACCAACGCCATTCTGAAAGATTTTTGAACTATTATTTTCAAAAAACGTTGGACACTTTTTCACATGTTCTCCCATAAGAGATATTACTCCTTACCTCTACCCACCATAATGAGCAACCTAATTTTCAAGCCGGTTATCATCTGCGAATTCTAACGTAAGCCTCGTGCCATGTCATCTCTTTCAAAACGGCGGAAACTTATTTGTACTCCTAATATTAATCTATATAAGATGGGGCTGCTGTATTTTTACACGGACTTTGTACAAATAACAAATGCCGTAAAGGTGATACCTTTCCGGGCTACATGTATATATATATATATACCTATGTACTAATAAATAATGGGCGAAAACTTGGATATCTTTATTGTGTTCCCGAAATAAATATAAATCTAGTTGAATTTATCAATTTTTTACAGGATTATATCTATTTTTGTATTCAGGATGGTTCAAATTAACTGCAACAACAATTTGTGTGTCTTCTCATAAAAAAAGTAATGAAAATATCGACATCATAACTTTTACAAGTAATTAAATGATATATTTATTAATTTAATAACTTTTGCCTACGCATCCATCACCAACATATTTTTGTTTCTTCAATAATTCTACGGCATATTTAATCTTATTATTCATTATAATGTTTTGCAAATCTTCGCCATGTTGTTTATCTAAAATGAAAATATTATATAATTTCGTATAAATAATAATCAGCGTTAAAAAATAAATAGATTTGAAATAATTTTCATTTTATATACTCTTTCGTTGTTTCTCTTCTAGCTTTTGTTTATCTTTCTCATCGAGTTTTAATTGTTCCTCGTAAAGATTACGCGTAAAAGCCATTTCCGTCTCACGTTCTTCCATTTTTTTCTCGTTGTTTGCAATTGTTCTTTTTACCTGTGTGTAATTATATAGAGAACGGTTAATTAAATATCTTTTTTTAAAAGCGTAAAAAGCAAAATGATGTTCAACTCGTATAACAATTAAAATTTCTCGTGTTATAAAGGAAACAAAAGAAAATAATTATTATTACCATATCGTCAAAAAGTTCTTTAGTTTGTTGTCGTTTTTCTAAAGCTAATCTTAAAGATTCATTAGCTTCTTTGATCTTTTTCTTTTCTAAATACAATTCATTAGAAATATCTTCTCTTTCTTTTATCTTGATTTCTTCGTCCAACATCTTTCTAGCAATAGTTTCCATCATCCTTTCTTTTACGGTATCGATGTCACTCTGCAATATTAAACAAAATATTATGTTTGTACTAATAACGATATCTTCCAGTTTCTTTTCTTTTATTTTATTTTCAATATAATAAAATTAACAATAAACATTTACTTTTTTCTTCATTTGCTTGTTATATTCGAGTTCCTTTTCAGCAATAGCTTTAGCTATTTTTTGTTCTTCCTCTTGAATAGCAATTTTTTGTAATTCCTTCCAACATTGTCTCGCTTCAAAGAAAGTTTGTCTCTCACCTTGTAAACACTTTTGAATTTCTTTCTTTTGTTCCTCTTTACGAATATCTTCATCGTTAATAACTTCGATCGTTTGTTCGATTATCTTACGTTCACGTTGTCTCTCTTCGTCCAATTCTCGCATTATCCGACATTTTTCAATAATTTGATTCTGCAAATCGGCACAATAAAGTCGTTTCATTTCTTCCATATTTGCCAATTGTATTTTATTGAACTTATCATCGGAGTACCATTTTTGAAGGATTTCGAAAGATTGCGAATCTTGTTTAATCATATCTTCGATAAATCGTGATTTTAAATCAATGAGAGAACAAAGTGTAGGAGAATATCGTGAGATTTGTTTTTTATCTTTCAAATCACGTAATTCCCGCGCTTCTTTACCTGCAAATTTCAAATCTTATAAAAATGGCGCCTGTTGTTACTCACAAGTGGCGCCAATTTCAAATATAACATTCGATCTTGCTAAATACATTAATATTATTATTATTATTTATAATAATAAATATATATAAAAAGAAATACTATATATATATATAATATTTGATATATCGATAGACAATTTTGGAGATTATTTATTATGTTTATATATGCTTAAAAATGTTACTTTTACGACGTGATAATTCCTCTGCTAATTTATTAGCCCTTTCGATTTGTCGATATCGTAAATCGCGATCTTCTTGAAAACGAACGAGTTTGTCTTTTTCTTCGGCTTCTCTACGATCGATATGTAAACGTTGTACTGATCGTAAATTATCAGTTTTTTCAATCATTTTTGCTCGAATCAATTGCATCACATCTTCACGTGCATCCTTCTCCAATTCCATCTTTTCAAGCATCTCTGCGCTTCCTCGTATCTTCATTTTGTATTGCAATTTATATATTTCCTTATTAAATAATTTACTAATCAACTTTTTATCATTACTCCGATGAATATTATTTGATGTTTAACATGTCACAACTTCAACGAGGTTACGTTTTGAAAAAGAACGCATTCTTATTGGTCTACATACGTATCGATTCAAAGTCACGTGATAATCGATTTTTAAATTTAATTTGGCGGCAAGAATTTGTTTAATATTAAAATTTGTTTTGACAATTAGTATATATTATTTGTAAAACGAATAGAAATAAAAAGTACACGATAATATATTGTTTGTGTGAAAGCTTTATTTTGTTATAACTTTATGGAGCAGTTTGTAAAAGTATATCGATCCGAAATCATGTTCAATAAATTATATGCGTTCGGATCATTTAATTATAACATTTTAAAATAATACAAAAATCATTTCGAAGTAAGTAATTACTTTTTGATTAGTTTTTAAGATAACAAGTCATATGAGTGATCTTAAAAAAAACAAAAAAATAATAATAATAAATGAAAAAATAAAAAAAAAAAGGAAATAAAAATGCATTTATTGAAACATCACGATTATATGCATTTATATAGAAATAACCGCATAGCAGTTTGTTGTCCCCAGTAATTTCATATTTTATTTAAAATGAATGCTGTGCTATTACTTTTTATGCGTATATCATGAATAATTTACATAGGGTAGCAGCAGCAGCATATTTAATATAATATTTAAATCAGCGTACAAAATCCACATTTTTCATCACTGTGGATATCTGTTGATGGTTGTTTTTTTGTTTTTTTCTGGAAAATCATATCCAAAAAAAAATTGTTTATAGACTGCTACTTATTCCATAGATGAAGCATCACATATCTTTGTCTCAGTCTCAGGTACTTTTAAGATTCGTGGACCATATAGAAGAACATATGCACAATGCCAATCACCACCTCCACTAAGCTTTAATACTTCTTCACTAGTAACAATACTAACAGTGTCATCATCACACTTCAACCATGTATCATTTTTTTGATGAACCCATGCAACGTAATGTCCACTACTACTTGATCGACCCCTATGAGTTAAAACTGCTTGTAGTGTATAATAACCGCTATTATTGGATCCTAAGTCTATAAACATTATAAATGAGAAATAATATTATTAATCAAGTTTACATGATAAGTATATATTTAAAATTATATATATTTATTGTTCTTTACCATTTTTAAACCAAAATTGTTCATCTTTCATTTTTTCCTTATTCTCGTCACTTTTATCTTTCTTATCCTTCATTTTGGCAGCTTCTTCTATCAAGCTATCTTCATACTTTTTAAATTTTTCACGCATCGGTGTAAGTTTAGCTTGAAGTTCGCTACTGCACAATTCAAATGCATCAAATTCCAATGGAAATTTAACATCTTTTAAAATTTTTGCATTAATGGCCTCTTTTTCTTTATAAAAAAATCGAACGAATTGAATAGTTAAATAAGCTGGTAACCTACTAATCTTAGACTGAAAATATAAACAAATAATTGATCATTTATAAAAATTTATAAAATGAAAATATATATATAATATTATAATGTAAAATATATATATATATATATTTACCGTTTTAGTATATAATGCATCTCTCCCAAGACTCACAGACATTTTAGTAATTTGTTCTTGCATTTTATTTCTTAGACCAGAATACATATATTTGACATCCGTTGAAATGAAACAACTCAATTGTAAAAATTCTTCCTTTCCTTTAGTAGGCGACTCATCTTCCGATTCAATACATTTCAATTCTGTATCAAATGTTCCTCCAAAATATTGTTCTATCAATGATCGAGGTTTATAAGCTTGAGGATCACTTTCATCAGCATCTGGATTTGCCTTTTTATAATTTTATTATATAAGTAATAAGTTCATTTAAATATATATATATATTGTAATAAAAAATATATATTTCTAACCTTAGCAGGTAGTTTTTGTTGAAGCATTCTGACAAGTTCGGTCCAACATTCGTTGGCATCTTGTTGTTGGAATACACCATGTTCAAATTTTTCAGCAAATCTTGGAAAAGCTACATGCATCATTTGTAAAAGTATAACAGGTGGAAATGGTGATCCTCTATCCATATTTTCATAAAGATCTCTTAAAGCGGCAGTTATGTTTTGTGCAGGCGTTTGAGAAGAATTAGCAATATTTGTTATAGTGCCTGTATAACTTTTTAAAGCTTCTCTTAACTCTGGTACAATTTTAAGACATTGTACAGTTGCATTAAGATAACAGGTATTTCCAAGATTAACCAAACCAGCTGGCAAATCTAATGCGGTAGCCAACTCAGATTCATTCATATCTTCCAAGAACAAAGGTTTTTCTTTCGGTTCTTTTGGCACATCCTCTTCTTTAGAACCCATCATTAATACAGTAACACCCTATTTATTACAAAAGATAAATAAACAATATTAAATGAATGAATAAATTAACGATAGATGTTAATAGTCGTTCTTCTTACATCTTTCAAACCAATATTTCCCCAACAATCATCCTTCAACGTTATTCCTTTTAACATGACTTTTTGTCTTTCAGGTTGTACTCCTGTTAATGCATAAAGTTGAGCTTTAAATAACATTGGTTCCTCATCCGTGTTAATTTCAACATTAGGATAAAGTTCTTTGCCCCATTTAACTTTAACTGCAATTAATATAAACAAATGATAATAATGACTATCATAAAAGTTAATAAAGAATAAAGGAAAATTATTGAATGTCTTTTATGAGGTTAGATAATAATAATTATTTCAATAGAAAATATATAATTACCAGTGTATTGTGGCATATTTACAGTTTGTGCGCGTAAATTTCAAATGGAAATTAATTAAATATGATAATGTTTAACATACAAACTGTTCCTTTTTTTTGATTGCAATTAGAACTGCATAAGAAACGCAAAGTCAGTGTATATGAACAGCCGATCGCTCAGCGAGCTGTCATTGGCTCACATGCACATATATGCTCACCACACATGCTCATCTCTAAGCATTATGTTTGGTTCAGCTTGTAAGTAAATTGAATGCAATTGGAACGTTTTTTGCTCAACTAACCTATCATATACGTTTCCCCCCCACCCTTTAAACTTTGTATTACCATACATATATATTAGTCTTGATAATCATGAAAGTGAATTAAATTACAAAATTATGATTTTATAATTTATTTAATTTATCAATTAAATCATAACATGATATTCTTTTTTAATTATTATTGTTATTGATTTATATATACATATGTATATATTTAAGTCAATAATTCAATTACTTTTGTTTCTATTTTGATCTATTAATTATGTAAATGTAGGTTATAAAAAAATGAAGTGACATTCCTATCTTACTGTTCTACTTGAATCATGGTTAAAAGATAGTGCACACATACAGAAACATAACTTACACAAAATCATTACATATATGTGTACGTATACATAGTAATATAGAGAAGTAAGTATCTCACGGGTCGATTTTCTCTACATCAACAGAGTTCAGCGGCATTGTCAGTGCTGTCAGCTGACGAAAGAATTGGACGTAGTAACAATAAAAAAATGGTAATTTTTTTCATATATACGAAAAAACATATTTATCAAAGTTTCATTATATTAATATAGTTTTAATTATATAGGAGTTAATATTATTCGTTTATTTGTAGTCGTTTGGAGAAAAAATAGCATCAATAATGGAAAGGCCTGGACAGGATTCTGTCGCTAAGGACGATACTCCTTGGTGGATGAAGTATGCTGGGCGAGGGCTCGGCACTGTAGGCGGTTTCAGTTAGTTTTAACAAAGTTTTTTTTTTCGTTCACCTTTATATCACTTTATTCGTATACTTTAACCAAAGATTATTATTATTATGTGTTATCTTTATTTCATTTGCAAATGACTACTATTATTTTGTGAAAGAATATGTTGAACATGTTGAACATTGTGTTAGGTTGTATCAACAAAATATTAACATTATATATTTTTTTATTTTATTCTAATTAATATATTTGATATGAATGTAATATATATATATATATATGTATTTGTTACAGTCGCTATCTTCCTGGGAGTATGGAATTGTGCAACAATATTACTTGCTTCAATAATGTGTTTTCTTAGCGGTATATGGCAGATGGTTGCTGGTTTTATAGTTTTGATGATCGAAGCACCTTGTTGTTGCCTTTTCATTGATTTTGTACAAAACTTAAGCGATATGGTGGAAAACAAACCTTATTGGAATAAAGCAGCAGTTTATTGCATGTAAGGGTTATGTATTTACAAACACATTTTTATTTCTTTTTTCACTATTGTTTTTATAATTAATTCATTCCCGTATTTTTTTTGTTGTTGATATATTTTAGAATAGCACTGCCACCAATTTTCCTTTGTCCAGGAATATCAAGTATATTTGGTTGCGGATTAATTTTTGCCACTGGTGTAATATACGGATTAATGTCAATTGGCAGAAAGTAAGTATATAAAATATTAATCATTATTTTAATAATTATAGAAAAAAAAAAACTATCACAGTTATCAATTTTAAATTCATAATTATTATTAAATTAATATATTCGTTCGAGTGTACAATTAAGTTCATCGAAGTACAATAACAACAACAACAAGAAAACAAATGATACAAAAGTTTCAAATTTTGTCAATTAATTAATTCCAATTCATTAAAGTGTATATTTTTGTTTTTGTTCTTTTATTGTCATTTGTATTTGCTTTAAAACAATGGACAAAAGTGTGTGGGATGTTTATGCGTCAAATATAATGCACACATGTATAATTGTTTGCTTATGGGTGGATTTTGATCACTGTGTGTTGGTTTTACTTGCACTCATGATTGAAATTGTTGCTTTGGTTTTTTTTTTTTATGCAAATGTATATTACCAAGATAACCGATAAAGAGTCTAAGATATTATATCAGGAACTATAAAATGATGATGCAGAACATTTTAATACTGTTAAATATTGAAAATGATATAAAATATATATGTTATAATTGATATATATATATATGTACACAAATTGAAGAAACGTGTGTCAATATTGTTACTAATATACTGACACAATAACAGAGGAACCAGGCCCGACCCGGCAGGAATGACGTCGTCGGGTGTGGGATCCCCACAGGGTACAGTACCTCCTACTACAGATCATCATACCACACTCATGGAGGATCCTGATGTCTGGAGGCCTACATAAAACATCAGATATTCATTGTACCACTTCACTAACCAGGCAATAATATATAAAATTCAATGTTATCCCTATGTGAATAGCCTCATCATATTCATAAATATGGTAGCTTTGTTGTGTACAAAAAACTGTATATCGTTAGCTAATTTAATTTCTCTTATGAATGCATGTTTGTTTTATTGCTATATTTTCTTTTTACGTGCTTATGTAATCTCGTTAAGTTTATGTAATTCAACTTAATAATTAACGTATGTGTCATTATCATAAACTAATATTTAACGATTATTTTTTAATATGAATAAGAATAAAAAAAAAAAACAAACATAATATTTGCACTATAAGGTAAATATGTTAAAGGTACCGTTATTTTTATCTTTAGACTCTTTTCTATTTTATTTTTATAATTATGTAATAGCAATCTCGCATGTCTATATATATATATATAAGTGTGCATTAAGCAATTTATCTATTACAGCTATATCAGATAAAAATAAGAAATGTGTGTGTAGTTAAATACATTAAAAGAAATCCTATTTGATTTTATTATGATTATTGTATGCTACGCTAAGAATTTAATTACATTTATTTAATAAATATTATTTTTCAGGGCATCATGGGGAGAAATGAGATCAGCAGCAGTGGAAACATCAGCTCCTTCATCAAGTATGCAATCAACGCTCGTTGAAAATGCTCAATCAATGGGCTTTAGTAGTAAACCAGATAGTAATGTTTGACACTTAACATGCATTGGCAACAAAATTCGCTATTTCGTGTGAATGGTGGTGTGTAATAATGACCTGGTCAAATAATTGTCTATTAGGGCTATGAACATTTATCATAAAATATGATATCCATTGCACTAATGCTGATGTCTTATATTAAAATTTGGATGCTTGAAGTAAATTTAATATGATTTTGTTTTAAATGTGACCAACTAAGCTTGATATAAGCTATTTTACTTGTATAACTACGTGTAATCAAAAATGCAAAACGATTTATTATTATTATTATTCTTATATTTTCCTCATTTTCAATCGATAGTTACATTAATATTAAATCGTTTTACATTTTTGTATATCTGTAGTAGACTTTAGGTTACTTATAAAAATTCTGTTGGCCTACCTTGTTCAAACCTGCTTTATTTAGTATCAAGAAATTTAGAATTAGATAATAAATATACAAGGTCTGCATTGTTAATTACAGTTGATATATAGAAAATGAATATATTATTAAGCTCTACGCTATGCTGATGTTCTTTACAGCCTTATTAAGTACTCTAGTTGTTGCATTTCACCATTGCATCTTTCTATAACACCTATCCATCCAAAGTTATTTTAATGAAAAAGAAAAAGAAAATAAACAGAATTAAAAATTGTCAAGAGCAATGGCATAGTTTATGTATTATCTATACACAAAATCTGATTAAACACATACATATTTTTCATATCATAAATATAGTATAATGAGTATGATTGAATTTAAAGAATATATTTACTTGCAAATAGTCTCTCAATGGTTAAATATAATTGAATGATTTTGAAAGGCTTCTTATATATATATCATTTTTGATGGTATAACAAGAATGATATAGCTCTTATAGTTGAATGAGTCATTAATATTAATTTTTATGGTTTATTATTATTATTATTATTATTATATTCAAGTTATAAACTCTTTATGACGACTGTATTGTATATAGAAGTGAATTCACATCTTTCTTCCATTAGTTCTCATGTTTATATTCTTCCTGTATGAAAAGCCTGAAGTAACAAAATGATATTTAGGATAATTAATAACACACACATACACACTTCATTTGTTATTTAAGTTTAATTATATACCTTTGTGATTCAATTTGTTACTGATTTATTTTTTTTTTTATTTGACTTATTTTGTGATACAATTCGATAGACTGGATTATTGTCACACTATTTTTATGTGTGAATAGGAAGGTATAATTAAGAGTTTCTTAACATATTCCTATACTATTAATAAGTATCACATTTGGAACTTTATGTTCTAATATTCGTAACTGTTATATCTAATGCCAAATGTGCCAACGTGCAAATCCCGTTTGTTTTTTTTATTATTATTATTATCTTATTATTCTTTAGAATTTTTATTTGCAACATTTCGATAGACTATTAATATCAAGTTAAATTATGTAATTTTAAACTGCAGCATTATTTAAAGTCATTTGTTTTCCTACATTCCTTGCTAACAAAAATGTTCATTCATTCATTCAATATAAAAGACTCGAAATTATTCATTTGATCATCTTATTTATTAATTATATCAAAATAATCATTGTGTACGTTGTGATTAACAGAATTGTCATTAAAGTTTGAATGATAAATTCATAAGTATGCATAATTATGCATTCTTATGTAATGTAACAAAAGAATAATAAGTATTATAGCAAATTTTTCAATAAAAATTAAATATTTCTCAATTTGTATTTGTATTGTATTATCAGGTCAATACATTTCTAAATGATTATGCAAAGTATTGAAATTTCATTGGTACGTCAATAACATTAACAACTGTAATAAAACATCACCATTCATAATATACAATATAATTCATGTCTATACACATACACAAAAAATATATTATAGTATAGAAAAAAAAAAAAAAACATTCACTTATATAGAGACATAGAATGTATGAAATTCAGAAAAGTCAGAAAAAGAAAGTTTTACAATTGTCTTCTTATTTTATTCAACGACATACTTAATTAACACTATAGTAATTTAATTAGCATTATATATTTGCCTTCTGTCATTTAATAATAAACTATATATAATTTATTATCTTCAACAGAGATTGATAATAGGGGATGAGATTAGATTATAAGCTAGCTGAATACAAAATGGATTTGTATGTGTTGAGTTAGAAAAATTATATGCTGGGCAAACCTCCCACACGACAGTTATCGTTGAATTGAAATGGTTAAAGAATAAACAATACTGCAATGTATGGCAGTTATTAGATAGTTATGTAATTAATAGATATAAAATAAATACATGCGCTACTTTTATTTATATATATATATATAAACATATATTATATGAGATATAACTAGACTCATTGGGCTCGATATATTTTCATTTTATTTATATCAGTTTTTAATTTATATTAACAAATTTTGTGAGTATAGCAATATATAACATTATTATTATTATTATTTGAAAAATACAAGTGAAACGTCAAATGATAGTTTGTTCCATGCACCATAAATATATAACATATATTGTATTGTATATTACATGTATATCCTGTCGATTTTAGAAATAATTATAAATCTTAAGATTGTGTGAATTTGAAAGCTATAAATTTGATGCGAAGTTTAAATGAATGAAAAAAATAATTCCATTCTACTGTGTTTTCTCGAAATATATTTAATGGTTTACGGTATTATACATAATCGAACGACAAATATTTGTATAAAATATAACAAACATATTATTTTTATTGATCTTCTAAGTAACAAAGAAATGTATTAACTTTATTATTTTTCAGGACAAAATAAAAAAAATAAAATAAAATAAAATTCTAATGCCAGAAGTATTAAATCGTTGCATATCAGAAATAATTCTACTACGCGATATATAATAATATTGAATGATAAAATTCTGCGTAACTATATTAGTTATTTATTAAAAAGACACATGTCATTAATGAGAACAATGAAAATAATGTGTTTATATATATATAAAATATATTCTTGAAAAAGCAATCGAAATTTGTTGTATTGTAAGGTGTGTCCATTACCGGTGTAATATAATAAAAAGACTCATTTGTCGATATTAAAATAATCATGGTATTAAAAATGTATTTTCGAGTAGTGAGTTTAAAAATAAACAAATGTATCCGCGTAAAAAGAAAAGAATATCTTAATGAGTATATTTCGTAATAAACGTAGATAATATTTGATAGTATATAAGAAAACCAAATTTGAATTTCCCGGGCATTTTATAGATCACGATTCGTATCAACCAATCAAATAACAGTACTCATTGACATTTCTCAAGTGGAATACGCCCTCTGCTCGAAGATATTCAGCCGAGGCCATTAACCGTTCGGTAAAGTTCGGGTTTAGGTACGAGCACTGACGAAAGTTACATTCCGTTGGGCACCTTCACCATGAGTGTTTTCGCCCGTCCGTCGGTGTCTCGTGAAAAATCTAGTTTTCCTTGTCCGCGTTATCATATATAATGGTAGTACGATATTAATTCATGTTAATAAGGAACAGACGTTATAAAAACGTCTAAGTTACGTGCGAGTAATGAAGTGATGGTAGATGGTGAAATAGATAAAAAGAGAATAACAGCGACAATTTACATCTTGAAAGAAGTCAAAAAGAAGTTAAGGAAAAGCAAACATGGGGAACTGTTTCAGTAGTAGCAGGGATCCGGATAAAGACAACTCCGATAGGATAGGAAATCCCAACATAGATGCTGTTGTATCGCCAACTAGTCCAGTGCCAACACCACCTCCGGATCCTATAAGGCCGGTCCCACAAATTCCAGATGCTAATGTGCCAAGTGCTAAGATATTCGTAGCGCTTTACGAATACGATGCTCGCACAGACGAGGATCTCAGCTTTAGGAAGGGTGAACATTTGGAAATACTCAACGATACCCAGGGAGATTGGTGGCTAGCTAGAAGTAAACGGACTAGAAAAGAAGGCTATATACCTAGCAATTATGTTGCTAAGTTGAAATCGATAGAAGCTGAACCGTAAGTATATAAGATTATATTCGTTTTATTTGTTTTTTTTTTTAATTTCTTTTTCTGTGCATTGCATGTATGTGTGTATGTGTGTGTATCAGATATCACAAACATCCTATCATCATCATCATCATTTTTCTTCGAATCTTAACATACAATCGTTTGATACCGTTCGTTGTGTCCGTTCATGTTACAATCTCTCTCACTTGTTCGATATTTAAGGAAGTATGAATAACTTACTTCCATTTCATTCGATTTATACTATTTAATATGCAACTCGTTGAATAATATTTTACAGTTATGTTTCGGAATATGGACAGTATAATTGGCATCTTTCATAATATATTTATAATTGAATAATATTATGAGATACAATGAACGTTGTATAAACGTCGATCATCATTCCACATTGCCATTTTTAAATAATCCAATGTATATATTTTCTTTGTTACATTTTCACCTATTGAATTTCTCCCTGTATAATAGTCAGCTCTAATATGACCTTGCTTTCACCAAACAGTATTTCTCTTGCCTCTCCCTGACTTAATCATTTGGTTGAGCACCTCTGCCCTGTTAATCAGTGAAGATAAGCACTACTTCCTTTCCTTTTTTCCTCTATACACTGCCCTTATATATACAAACTTTAATATATACTATTTAATAATAACAATTCTATATATATATATATATATATATATATATATATATATATATTATGAATTATTTTACATCAATGTTTTTTTTTTTTTTATGAGGAAACAGGATATTACTTTTTATCGAGTTATTTTGATTTATTCAATTCATAATTTTAGAAATTCCCATTATACAATTGGAAATGATAAAAGATATGACACACAAAATAAAAAAATATTTCTTTAGAAATTATATTATAAGAATTGTAACCTTTCTCTTGGAAGTATTTTYTAATCAAGTGTCTACACATGCGTTTGTTTTTTTTTATTTTAATTTTATGATCAAATGATATATTTCTAATATTATTTTTCTAATATTATATATATATATATATATAATACTATTATATATTATATTGTATTGTATGCAATGTAAAATACATGTAATGCTTTATATATATATATATATATATTTTTTTTTTAAATATATCTATCTAATAAATATCTAAAAAAAATATATATCTATATTTACATATACTTTATAATAATAAAAAAAAAAAAAGATTAAATAAATATAAATTAGAAATATGTGTATATTAAATATATGTATACAATGATAAATGTGTTATCTATATTTACTACGGTTGGATGATCATACTTATGACACATACATAAATTCAATGCACATTGTTATCAATACTTTTTCATTAGAAAAACACATGTATATTTGCATCAACGTACAATCATTTACAAAAATAATTTCATTAGGTGAATTTACTTTTTCATTCATTAACTTTATATATATATATATATATATTCTTATTGATAATATGATTTGTTTTTTTTTAAATATATTTTATAGATGGTACTTTAGGAAGATAAAACGAATTGAGGCTGAAAAGAAATTATTATTACCAGAAAATGATCACGGTGCATTTTTGATTAGAGATTCTGAAAGCCGTCACAATGATTATTCTCTTTCAGGTAATATTTCATTTATTATTTATTATATATATATATAATATATAATATATATATTTGACAAAGAGTTATATTTTATTTTGGTAACATTGACAAATCAAATTATGTTTATAGTACGTGATGGAGATACTGTCAAACATTATCGTATACGACAGTTGGACGAAGGTGGCTTTTTCATTGCTAGGCGGACCACATTTAGAAATCTTCAAGATCTTGTTGAACACTACAGTAAAGATGCCGATGGATTGTGTGTAAATCTCTGTAAACCGTGTGTACAGGTAAGCAGAAACAAAGTTCAAATTTGTATGACTCATGTGAAAGATTCCAGTTTATTTTAAACGGAGTTTAGACAGCTTGGTTGCATGTTATAACAAAAAAATAAAAAAACAACAACAACAAGAAAAAAAAAAAAGAAGTGTTTCTCATAGCATTGCAAATTGTAATATAACAACAACAACAATAATAAAAGTTTTATTTATATCAATATATATATATATATATATATATAAAAATGCATCAACCTTACGTTTGATTTAATAAAATCATTAATATTTATAAGAGATTTCTACAAACTGATTTCTATTGTAAGAGAAATTGATGTTATTTTACATTTAAAAATCAAATGAAAACTACACATTATTTGTAGAAATCTCTTGTGATATATATATATATGGAATGCAAATACAATTTTGTAATTTATACAAAGTGAAAAAGTAAATATTAGATAGCATGGTATTATTTTTTCTTGAAAATGTGATTTATATATAATATATAATAATATTGGTAATATTTTGTGCTTTTTATATTTTTTTTTTTTTTTTTTTTTTAGAATAATTACAAATGGTATTATTATAAAGGAGAAGAATTTTTTTTGCTTAAAAAAAAAAATTAATAATGCGTTGTGTTTTTGTAGTAGAGGATTATGAATTTAATCATTTTGTTATACTGTCTAAACTCCAGTTGAATTTGTTTTAAAGCCAGTCTGCTCAAATTAGTAACCCAGTTCGAGAGAGAGGACCATTGGGAGTCAGTCCTAATATCCAAATGCTCGTATTTATTTATCGATGCTCTATAGAAAGAGCTTAAATTATTATTATTATTATTATTATTATTTAAAAAGATTCATGATTTCATGTTATTAGAATGCTGTGGCTGTTTTATACATAGCTTTGCATCATGCATATATTATATTATATCTCTCAACAAGCCAAGAAATTCCTTATTGCATGCTTTTTACAGTGATATATACAAAACATCAGTCTCCTTGTTTTATATACCATATAGTGTTATTGTGTGTGTGATACAGACAAAGTAAAATTTTATTTTTTTTTTTTTCTAAATAATTTGTATATCTTAAAACAAATGATAACAATGATAACAATTTGTTAACAAAACAAATTTATATTTCTAATTGTTACTTTGCATTTGATGAATATTTTGCTAAAAAAAAAAGAAAAAAAAGATAGGAGAAAAATCTGATTAGTTATAGATAAATTTATGAATTAACTTATAATCAATGATACATAATAATATATTTATATAAAATTAGACACACATTGGGGTATAGATTTTTGTATCTCTCGAACCAGTACTGTGAGTAGACTGGCTTTATTATGCATATTTTAATTTGTTAAATTACATTTTATTATTACAAAAAAAGTTATTATATTTATTCCTATTGATTATTTATAACAATTCATTTTAAAAGAATGCATGTAGAAAATATCTGAATAGTTAGAGAAAGAAAGAACCTCGATCATCATCAATAATATTAATCCATATAAGTGTTTTTTCTTTATTAAAACCAACAAAATTTATTTCATTTTTTTTTGTTTTTTTTTTTTTGACAAGTTTTTATTTCGTTACTTCGATAATCGAGGTTTCATAATATTCAATAATTTTTATTGATTTCAAAGTTAAAAGAGCTACTACTACCTAAGCAATATATATATATATATTGAACAGATTGATTTTTTTTTTGTTGTTGTCCACAAAAATAGCTTATTATAAATAAAATAATCTTTCTTAGAGAGTTTCTTAAAGTGATAGTTAAAAAAAAAAAGAAAAATCTACATAAGATATTATAAATTATATATATATATATATATAATAAAATTTAAGATATATTACAGTTAAATGGACAAAATCAAATGGAGGTTTGAGATGCACAAAACATTGTTTTTTTTTTTTTTTCATACAAAATATTATTATCCACAAAGTTCAAAACATTTGAATAGAATTGTGTTTGTTTCTCTGTTTATTGCTTGCCCTACTTCCTGCTGGATTTTCTTGGTAAATTGAATGTCCCAAATATAAAAATAACATGTTATTTTATTTTTATCTTCTTAATAATGCGCAATAATATATTACTTTCAATCATCTTCTTTTTGTTTTTTTTTTTTTGTTTTTTTCTAATCACACATATAGCACAAGCCTGTACTATATGGAATTATGCTCCAAAGACATTAGATTATAAGCATTTGGTCTAAGAACACAAAACAAAATATTTCATTCTTTTTTATGATACTTTATATGTACTTTATTGTACATTCATAGCTTCTTTTGTTTTTTTTTTTACATAGTTGTTGCACACACGCACATACACACACAAAAACACTTAAAATGCGCTCTTAGGCGCTTTTTTTTTATATTATATTTATATATATATATATAGCACTGTTTCATAATTTGAGACAATTCAAAGGAATTACCAGTGATATTTGTGTGCATAAAATATTATTAAAAAAATAATAAAATAAAATGCAGGGTATCTCGGTGAAAATTTTACTCTGTCTGTATACTACTACACGACTAATACTGTCCATTATATTTAATATATTATCACAAATAATAATAATAATAATAATATAGCTTATGAGAAAGACTACATTTAATAATATATATATATATATATATAAAATGTATTATAATTAAAAGATATATTTTTTTATATGTAACTGAGAGACTCTGCATAGTGATTTTAAATTCATTAGTTTCTTATAAGACTGGATTTTTAACTCTTATGCACTGTTCCTAAATTTTTAATAATTATACATATTTAAGTACATTTTGTAACAAACAAAATATTTGAATATGTTACAATAGCACAAGTACTGATTACTTCCTAATGATAAAGTATATATATATATATATACAGTATGTTACAATAGCACAAGTACTGATTACTTCCTAATGAAAAAATATATGTATATATATACGTATATAAATATATATATATATATATATATATGCACTATGATAAAATGTGTGTGCTATGAAAATGGATTGTATGTACATGTTTCTGATATTATATTTCATTATACATTAGTATATTACATACATATGTGGGAAAATAACTAGTAGATTATTATATAATCCTATTAAATCGTACGTCATATTTCGCATGTAATTAGATAATTCAGTATTTGTCTTCAATTGCTTTTTGCATAGTAGCAAACATCATTTGATTTTTCATTGTGTTTTTGTGTTATCATCATCGTTTTACATTATTACATCTCTTTGTATTCAAAGGAATAACAACTTGTTTCTTTTTCTTTTTTTTTTTTATTCACGTTTATTATATTCAGCAAAAAACAACAACAACAACAACATTCATTTTGTTTATTTCTTTCTTCAAATGGAAATATTTCAATGTTGAGTTTATTTTATTTTTTAAATATACATTATTGACACATGGTAAATTTATAAAATAATACTCTTTTTTTTTTTAATATTACAGTTTTGAGATTATTAGATTTTTTTTGTTTTATAAATAGAAAGGTGTCGAATTAAAATCAAAATTTACAAATCTAATTTTATGCAAATATATATATATATATATATATATATATATAAAAGTAAACATAAATCTTTGACGAGGTCTATATATATAATTTTATATACGATTGATATTTTTATCTTAACCGATAGATGATCATCTTGTTAACAGAATTAAATAAGTTCATTTCAAATTCACAGGCATTTATAGTATAATACGATTTATATATATATATATATATGTCTTCTTAATCATTAAATTGCAACACGTTCTTCCAATAGATGACCTCGATACTTAACAATCTATCTCTAGTTGTTCTCTATCTGATTTTTCTCATATATATATATATAGACGAATAATTTATAATATAAAATAAGATAAAATTTTTCAAACAAAATATAAACAAGGAATTAATAAATAAATACGAATTATTAATTATGAAAGTAATGTAAATCTAAGTTGTTATCATTTGTTGTACAATTGTTTAAAATTTATATAAGTAAAAATTATTTTTTTTTTAAATAATTTTAAAATAATTCTAATAATATTTAAATTATTTTTATTAAAAAAAAATATATATATATATATATATATATATATATCACAAAATATCTTTATAAACAATCAAATATATAATTTACAATATGAATTCTTAGCGGCACAGAATTTCAGATAATAAAATAGTCCTATGTTATATTGCACGTTTTAAATTAAACAAAAATTGGGAATATATATATATATATTTTTTATTAATAAAGATATTTTACCTAATGTAAAAACATTAATAATCAAAACAAATTAATAACCAATTGTTTAGGATAAATAAGACGAAATATGAAGTTATGAGCATGTTGTGTGTAGCTATTGTAATAATATTTCGAGATGGGACTAAAAACGTCGTCCCACCGTGCATTATGGTGTATCAAAAAGATGGGAAACTTTTAATCCCACCTTGCCCCCCTCCCCCCCCAAAGAGTTAAACAATTTTCATAATTACTGATTCATATCCGGATATATATATATTCAGGTTGAAAAAGAACAAAATTGTAACAAATATGTCTAAGATAATTTATAAATAGCATAAATAATTGACTAGTACATTTATAGGCTATTTTTTTTTTTCAATATATTTATAAATGTATAGGATGAGTTTTTTTTTTTTTTTTAAACAGATAATTAAACAGATAATTAAACAGATAGGTGGTGGGAATACGTCGCAATAGGTGTAAATACAATTTTAATTTACTCTCGATGATTATTCCGTGTGGTTGTGAACAAATAGCGAGGAGTAAAAAATTGTTTTACACTAAAAAAAAAAAAAAAAGAAATAAAAAACTGTATGCGTCAAGTTGTTCTTTTGTTTTTTACAATAAAATATAAACACGAAAACAAACAAACGTTATGCTATCATATCATGTTTTACTTAGTGACTATGCATTTGACGTTTGCGGTTTTTATATGGGTCATTTAAATTATTTCGATATATGAGTATTTTGTTTACGAAATATCGTATTTACTTCAACTATATTCGAATAACGTTTATTCGACAAATCTCAATCAATTTATACACACACACACACACTAGACGATTCATTTTCGTTTGTTTAAAGTCAATTAAAAATTTCATTAGAATTCCTAATAATAAATTTATATGTGTATATTGAAACTAAAAATATTGATCATTAGAATATATTGAATTATAATATTTAATAATAATATAATATATATATTATAATTCAATTTTAATTATTAAAATCAATGATACTCATTCCTGCGTACAACGTGGGCTCCTCATAACTGCTATGTAAGTAATTTCATTCGTTTAAGGATTCTATAAAAAATGTAAATCTACATATATATATATATATATACATATATATACATGAACAGTATTATTTTAATTTTATCATAACACGATCTTCTGTCTATGTATGTTAAATGTATAACAATACATAACACGATTTGATAATTATATTTCACATACATATGTAGAATATGCGTACACGTAGAACAAACAAAAATAAAAATAAAAACAAATGATTAATTATAAGATACACAAATAATAAAAGTGATGATGATGATGAGTGATTTAATTGAAAGATTTTTTTGTTTCTGCTACAACGATTAGGATTTATTTTGCTTTATATATTCTTTATAAAAATACCATATGTTGTTTACCTTTGTTGTGTTGCATTGTGTGAACTTTTTTGATCGTTCGAAACTTATAAATTGGTCGCCATTATCTGCGTTACGTAATTCCATTAAATCATTAAGTTTTTTTTTTCTCTTGTAATAGTGTTAGGTATATATATATATATATAGTACAAGGCCTTTTTATAATGTTTGAGTATATGACATCATATGTTGTTTTTTTTTGTACAGTTCAGAACACACACACACACACAAAATGAGCTTCTGACATAATACATACATTTTCTTATTGTTTCCTTAAGTTTGCACAAGATATTTGATTAATTTGCAAAATACACTAACCACATATTTATATATAAATCTATAGATTTATTAATTAGGTAGTTCCCTAAAAACTCTGTTAACAATTTTGTATTCGATGCACTTAGAATTAATCTGCATTTGATGCATATAGTTGTGCATAGAGTTGTGCATAGCTTGAGCCACATTATCAAAGATCTTTTATGTAGGTATCTATGGATTATTATACGCTGCTTATTATAAAATACAAAATTTTACAGGAATTTTATTTTCCTATTTGTTTTTCTCTTTTTTAAGTGTTAAAGTATCATACTCATTCTAACACAAACATTTGTTTAACATTCATTCTGCCAGTGGAGAACTTATTGAAGATTACTCATAGTGAGCTTTGGTATTGATACAAAGAGGATGCATTATTGTTTAGAAAGATTTTAGAATATGTTAGCCATTGACTGGCCCGTATCTGGTGTGTTTATAGGTTGAGAAACCTGTAACGGAAGGCCTTAGTCATCGTACACGAGACCAATGGGAAATAGATCGTTCATCCCTTAAATTCTTACGGAAATTGGGTCAGGGTCAATTTGGAGAAGTATGGGAAGGACAATGGAATAATACGACACCGGTAGCAATAAAAACACTTAAGCCAGGAACTATGGATCCAAAAGACTTTTTGGCAGAAGCACAAATTATGAAGAAACTTCGACATGCCAAGTTAATTCAACTTTATGCTGTATGCACAATGGAAGAACCAATTTATATTATAACAGAATTGATGAGGCATGGAAGTTTATTAGAATACTTACAAGGTAATATTTTTGTAATAATTAATTACACTAAGATATATATATAAATTAAACATTTCATTTTTTTTCATAGGAGTTAGAGGAAGAGCTTTGAAATTACAACAATTAATTGATATGGCCGCACAAATAGCCACTGGCATGGCTTATCTCGAATCACAGAATTACATTCATAGAGATTTGGCAGCACGAAATGTATTAGTAGCTGATGGAAATGTTGTCAAGATAGCAGACTTTGGTTTAGCCCGACTTATTAAAGAAGACGAATATGAAGCTCGTATTGGGGCACGATTTCCAATTAAATGGACCGCACCAGAGGCTGCTAATTACAGTAAATTCAGTATTAAATCTGATGTATGGTCATTTGGTATACTTCTTACTGAACTCGTTACTTTTGGAAGAATACCATATCCAGGTACTGTTAATATCTTCTTCTTCTTCTTCTTTTTCTTCTATATAAATTACGTGTCAAGTTGTTTGTCCACTAATAACTTGAAAACTACTCAATCGATCTTAATGAACATTTTTGTTGTATTTTATGTAATTTTTTCCAACTTAGAATATAGGATAGTTTTTATCGCGATTATTTTTGATTTTTTTATTGCTAATTTAATGATTTATTATTTAGAGGGTTAATCTTAAGTACTTAGCTTCTCTAAACATTCAATAGATGGGTGCTGTATTATTATAATTCAATGATTTCGATAGATTTCACGTCATATGAGACTTACTAGTCATACTTTTTCGTGTATTATTATTTTTATGTATTCCATTTTAATTGTGTTGTTATTATTGACTAAATAGTTTAGAATTTAATTAAATTAACATTTTATAACAAAGTTCACAGTAACTGCGTGGCCGGATCATTCTAATAATATTTATAAAAGATACATCTGTGTTGGAAGAACATGATAATATCATTATTAATATTATTATTGTATTGTTTATAGGTATGACAAACGCAGAAGTATTAAACCAGGTAGAACATGGATACAGAATGCCTTGTCCACCTGGATGTCCAACGGCACTATACGATATTATGTTAGAATGTTGGAACAAGGATCCTATGAAGAGGCCAACGTTTGAAACTCTTCAATGGAAACTTGAAGATTTCTTTACAATGGAGGGATCAGAATATAAGGAAGCATCTGCGTATTGAAATGAAATCTACGAGAAAAATGTTAGTAATTTTCAGTTGGCTTCTTCGTACGATTCGTCTCGTACCATTATTCGTATGATGAAAGACAAGACTCGTGTTTCAATAGTACTTTATTGTCGATAGGTAAAGACAGGGAAAGTCTAGGATTTATGATGATGATGATAATGATGATAATGATCATGATGATGATGATGATGAGCTATTCATTCGAGACATGAATGCTTGTGATATTTGAGAGTATAGTATACTTTAATAGAATATTTAGGGTGTCTCTTTATGTTTCTTTTTGTTTTGTTCTTTTTTTTTTTTTTTAAATATATATATATATATACACATACACATACACATACACATATTAAAGATAAATGGTATTATCATTTATTTTTTCTTAGTAGTACAATATTATATTATATTTCTTTTTTTTTTTATTTTCATTTATGTATTCAGGCTGCCATAAAATGATATAACGAGTTTGTCAATTCGCCAATTCGTAATTTTACAATGTAATTGGCACTTTGATAATTTTTAGAAACAGAAATAACACACATTACGTATTATAATATATGAATATATATATATATATATATTATTTTAGATATTAACATTAAGATAACAACGCGTATATAAGTGTAGATATTAACTGCCTTTGACACGACCATGTGTAACGATCAACGATTATTAATATTATTATAATTATTATTATTAATATTCAATATATATATATATATATATTATCTTGTCGTCATTTTTGTCATCAGAAAAAAACAAAAAAAAAACAAAAAGAAATATTGAGATACATTTATCAAATGATTTTCCATAAAAAGTATTATGAAAAGACAAATGTCGTCGTCTACCATAATCGTGTGTTTTGTTGGTAGTTTACAGTCGATAAGAAAGAAATGAACTTTTCATCCAATCTTAACGAAAGGATGGCCTACGATAAGATGGACAAAGTACTATTGAAGTATGAGACATCGTTCAGGTATAATATGAACGTTGTGTGTGTGTGTATAATTTATATTGACGAACGACGCCTCGTGCTTCTAATTACAAATCTTCATATATATATAAATATATATATATATATGACGGACCATAGTCCATTTTAAAAATCATTCCTTTTTCTTCTTCTTCTTCTTATTCTTATTCTGATTCTTTATTCTTATACTACGAAGATTAGATTATTACTTCTCCTTCTTCTTCATCTTCTTCTTCTTCTTCTTCGTCTTCTTTTTCTGTTTTAACAGATTTTAATTATGTGTGAAAATGTATATATTATAAAGTGGATTTTATTCTAAACGAATGAATTTTTGAAAACAATTCAGAACGGTTACTGCAAACTGGTCCGTCCAAAACAGCTGACGATAATTAACACCTAAAACGAAAAGTTCACTTTTTATGTCTATTACATTAGTTCATGATGTTTACACTCTATCACTTTTTGTCATAATTCGTATATGAATATTATATATCAAATATATAAAAGAAACACACACACAAAAAAATATATATATAACACAAACATATAATATACACATGGAAAAAGTATTTTAAAATATAGCGCGAATAAAATCTTAAAAGGAGATAGCAACAACAACAACAACAATAACAATGAAAATACAACAACAAAAAAGAAAAAACCTGTTTTTAAGTGTTCAAAATAATAATAATAATAATAATAATAATAATAATTAATAATAATAAAAATAAATTTAGTCAGATCGTTCGAGATCGACTAATAATTATGAAAGTTTACAAGAATTTACCTTGAATGTCAATAAGTTAGAAATATGTATACTGTTGATGCATGAACAATAATTATTATTGATGATGATGATGATGATGATGATGAGTGTCTTTTTATCTTGCACAAAAAGATCAAATGCAAGGTAAAGCAAAAAAAAATATATAGATTTTTCCTCCCAAAAGAACAAAAAAACAAAAAAATATTAGCGCGTTTATTACAATGTTCAATTCACTATTTACATAAATCTCTTTTTATCATTAGTATATTCATAGCTTATCTAATAATAGTGATATTTAATCGTTCATTATTATAATCAACAACATTTTCAAAGTATTTTTCATTTATACATATATATATACAGTATAATCTCACTAATCCGGTACTTCAATAGACCGATACGTCCAATAATCCGGCACCCCCGCCCGCGCCACCCTCTCCTACGCCTATGCGCTCCGTCGCCCGTGTCGTCGTTTGCGCTCGCTTTATTTTATTTATTATAATTTTTTTTTTTTTCTCTATAATCCATTATTCCGAACATTCCAATAATCCCCGGCACCTTCTTGGTTTTTAACACTAAATTTACGGATGTTTTGTTCAATATTTTTTAATGACTTATAATAATTGTTTAAATGAAGAATTGAATAGAGAGGATAGTAATTAATATTTAAATATATTTTTTTTTTTATTAAGTAACTAAAAAAAGACAACATATATTTTTAAAAATATAATATTTAAGTTTTATGTATTTGTATCAACAAAATTTGAAATGAGTAGTCAAATTGGTTCAGTTCGTAAATCTAGTGTTAATAATGTCGGATTAGTGAGATTGTACTATATATATATATGTATATTATATTTTACAATTTTTTAATTCAATTTTCACATAAGATCTCTTTAACTCTATTTTGAAAATTTACTGTCTTCCTTCTATTATTATTATTATAAAATGTGCTAATAATTATAACAGTTGACTAAGTCAATAAATGAAGAAAAAGAAAAGAAGAAACATTTTATTTGTATTATTTATCTTTATATAAAATATATTATGAAATAATTTTCTTTTTTCTTCTAATTTTTACATTTTAGTCTACTGTAATAATTATTCATCATATTACAATATTTTCTTCTCTTCCTCGTCTCTTATTATTATTGTTGTTTGTAATTTCGACAAACACAAGCGCGCGCGCACTATTTGAACGATTTGTAATAATAATAATATTAATAATAATAATTATAATAATAATATTAAAAAAAAAGATAAAAATAAACATTTCCAACGATGGATAAACGATAGAAGGTGTCCCTCGATATATGGACAGTGTAAAACGATGAGGATGATATATTTATAGGCTTTCATGTGTTTTAAAATACGTTGATGAGGATATGATAATGGCGTCAAAATCGATGAGACTCATTGAATGCCTCGATAGAAATTATTCATTAAAACATAAACAAACAAAAATATCGATGCTTTGTGTATGCTTTATACTTATTATATATATATATATATCTTCGTTTTAAATAGTTTTACAATTTATACATACATATATATATATACATATAAAATAATGCTTTTATAATATTTTAATTATTAAGTAATTTTTAGAAGGAGAGAGAGAGAGAGAGAGAGAGAGAGAGAGAGAGAGAGAAAGAGAGAAGAGTTTATATAAGTAAAATGATCATGTGTGTGTAAGTTCTTATAGTATTTGTACTATTATTTTGTTACGTATGAGATGGAAAAAGAAAACAATTGAATATCCGTTTAAATTATTGCTGTACCTAATATTCTTGTCTTTTTTCTTTTTTTTTTTTAATCTTTTTTTTTTTATGCATCAATTTTTTTTATTTCCATTTTTTTTTTATTCGTCTTTTTTCTTCACAAAGAATCGTCTTAAAAAAAAAAAAAAAAAAAACAACTTGTAATCTAATATATTATGACATCTATCTATATATATATATATATATAATAGCACTAAACAACAAAAATATGTATTACGTTTTTACATTGTGCTCTTCTCACTCATCCCAATTTTACATACTATAGAAATGAACACTCAATTTTAATTCAATTTTTATTGAATATTAACGAAAAAAAAATTCATTATATTTTGTTATTATTTGATTTTTATTACAATATTTTTTACAGTATTCTTTACGAGAGTCTCGTTTGAATTACGTATTCGTAAGTACATCATAGTGTCACGTGACCAGTGCGTAACCAATCAGAAATGATCCGATACAAATTACACAACGTGTGATTTTTCATTTCAATTATATTTTATACATTTGATCACGTAAATGTCTGATTTTATTATATTTATTTTTCTTAATCTAATCACGTAATTGTGTTTTACATATTGTAACGCTATCTCCTGTATAATATTATATACATTCATATTAAACATGTATTTTAATTCGTATAAAAGAATCGTTTTGAATATTAATTAATTGATACGCGTAGTAAGTCAAAGAAAATATTATACGAGATTAATGATTATGTATGTAATTGTTTTTACAATGTTCAAAATGAAAACACAAATTTTCTAAGCTTACTGTATACGTTAACAACGAGTATTATATCCTGTAACTTACTGTTATTTTTTAAATATTTAATTGGATTCGGTAATGTTAACAAATTAACAGAGCAAAGGTGTATAATAATTTTTTTCTTTCTAATTTTTATTAATTATTGTATTATATCAAGTAGTATCATCACGTGATGAGATTTGGATCTATGACTGTATTTTAAATTGTTATCTTTTACATTTATTTTGAATGATATTAAAATATTTAAAGATATGACGAACAAGTTTGTAATTTAATTATTTCGAGTTATATAATTATCAATTTATTGTTATAGTCCTTAAATTCAGTGTAGATCCAGTGTCGGTAATGTAGAAATCTAACATCAAAAAATGTCTCTAGTGTGAATTGAATGGATTACGCCCTTTTTAAAGATAAAAAACGCCTATTTTAATTCATTTCACAACTCGTTATATTTTCTTTGAATAATTCTATCAATTATTAATCTATTCTTTAAAAAAAAAAAAAAAAGAAATCAATTATAAAATAATAATAATAATTGAAAAATCATCAATGATGATAATTCAAGAGAATAATTAAATAAATATAAATTATGAATAATTTATTGTATAAAACAATTTAGTCAAGGAGGGGGAAACAGAAGAAGAAGAAAAAAAAAAGAAAAAAGATCATCGTCCGATGAAGAAGAAGAAGAAGAAGAAGAAGAGAGAAAGAGAGAGATAGAGAAAGAAAGAAAAATAAATATGGAGGACGTCCTACTCAAGGTTACACAGGGTAAAATCGCATCGAGGCGTGGTTAAGAATAATATCGAGAAAATGTCACTAGGTTCGTGAAGTCACCATACGTGTTTGGCTATCATGTTGCTCGTTCGCAGGAGCAGGTGCTTTTCTCCACAGGTGTTCAGTCGATCGTAGACGCGCGTAGTGTGGTTGTGTGTTAAGCGGTCTTCTTCCTCTAAAAAAAGGAATAACTTCGTGCTTCGTTCATTTGTTCTTTTTACCATAGTTTTATTCATTCGTTGGATTCATTCATTCATACATTATAATATTCTAACATATTAAATATAATAATTTAAGTTAGTGTGTGAGTTTAGTTCACAAACGTGGTTGGTTCTGTGTGAATTTGGAGCTTGTTTTATTTTTATTTTTTATTTTATTTTATTTTTTTTTTTTTTTACCATAATCGGAAATATATGTATATGTAGAGTGAGTGTGTGTGTGAGAGAGAGAGAGAGAGAGAAAGGTAGAGTTATTTCTGAAACATAGAAAGAGAGGGTATATATATATATAGGAAAAGAGGTAGGAACAGGTAAAAGGCCGCGTATACACAGTAGCGTCGAAATCGAAAAATAACGCGATAATGAGACGATCGAGGTGCTGCGACGACGTGGCCGATTTGGTTTATCGAGAAAGTAGCGATAGTCGATGGTGAATTTTAACTCCTCCTTCATAGTGAGGAGGACGATTTTATTTAAGAATAAAACGGAAGAGGAAAGTTCAAAGTATTGGAGGTGGGCACCATGTATCGTAGCTGGATATTATGCTAATCGCGTTACGGTCAGAATGCGGGAGGAAGAACTCGAGTTATCGCTTAAGGTAAAATGAATTAAAATTCAAATGAACAAGATAACAATAATAATAACAACAACAACAATAACAATTACAATTAAATGTCCAATTTTATCTCATCATTTTTATTTGATTTTTTTTTTATTATTTTTATTGTTGTTGTTAGTTGTAAACTACAGATGAAGTAGTAAATGTATATATATACATATATACATATTGTTGGTTTTACAAGTATATATATATATATGTATATATATGATTTTATTTTATTACATTGTAAATTTATTTCTCAACGTGTATGTGTGTAAATATGTATATATATATATATGTGTATGTATATGTATGCATGTTGTCTATATCCGTCTATCTGTCTGTTTCTGTGTAATTACGTTCGTAAGACAGGAAAGAGAAAGAGAAAGAGAGGTGGATGATGGCATCTAAAACCGGCCGGGAAAGCTTATGTTCATAGTAAAGAAAAACTAACGCGTCTCGAAATTGTCTCCTTTCGTTTAATACCGGTTTCATGTTGTTTATCTCTTACAGTTTAAGACATTTTACGTTGTAATCATAAGACCGTGACTATTTTAATTTAATGATTAAGTTAGCATATATGATTTATTAATATCTATCTCATTTCAAACAAATTCTATTTCTAAATTTTTTTTTCTGTTTTGTTTTTTTAATTAATTCAATCTTACATATTATATAGTTCATATAATAATAATAATAATAATAATTAATATATTATTAATATTATCGTAAAAATTAAATAGATTATTTTATATATATATATTATATATTATATAATTATTTATTATATTAATTTAAAATATTATATTATAATTATTTATTATATTATATTTATATTATATATTATATTATATTAATAATTATATATTATAATATTATATAATATTTTAATTTTAATTTTAATTTTTATATTTAATTATATAAAAATATATATTTTATAATTTAATTTAATATTTTTAAATTTTACAATTTAATATTATATATATTTGATAATATTAATATATTATTATATATTAAATAGAAATATTTTATATATAATATATTAATAAAATAATATATATATATATATATATATANATATATATATATATATATATATATATATATATATATGTGGGTTTGTGTGTGTATCGTAAAATTATTGAAGCAAATTCTTTCGATATAATTGGAAACATTCCTCTATCGTAAAATAAAACTTTGATAAGTCGTTGAACGTGATGATGGTGCTGATGGTGGTGCTGATGGTGAGGTGATCGTAGAACCGTGACTTGAAAGAAAAGAAAAAAAAAATATATATATATATATATATATACTCGTTGAATTCGTTTTTCTAAGAATTTCATTCTTTTGCATTTTTTTCTTTTTTTTTTGTTCTTTTTTTTTCCAACTATATCTTTAAGGTTCGCGCGCAAATATTTGCGGTCTCTAATCGAAAGGGACGACAACGACAACGACAACGACATCGACATCAACATCGACAACATCGACAACGACGTAGACGACGTAGACGACGTAGACGAAGACGAAGACGACAAGGGAGTACTGTGGAGTTTCAAGGGCAAGGTTTCGAACGTGCTAGGGATAGTTAATGAGCGAAACTCGTAAGCCTGAGTTTTTCTTATCGGCACGGTCTGGTAAAACTTAGACTCTCACATCAAGTAAAACTCTAACGTGTGTCCCAACAAATCCCATTCGAATAGAGAAAATTAAGAATAGTTCATGAATATTGTTGGTTTTTTCTTTTTTTTTTTTTTTTACATTTCGAATATTTCAAGAGAATAATAAGAAAAATCTATTTTATAATATAATAAAAAAAAAAAAACAAAACGAATCCACCTTCTCGTTTAACTAACTCTCGAAGAGATCGATTTCTCGAAATCATTTGAAATCATTTGAAATCATTTGAGAAATCGATACCCCACATTACATCTAGTTTTCCACTTTGTCAAACTTGATATTACTTTATAAGTTAATTGAGTACTAATTCATTTCTTCTTGAAGATCAGATAAAACGACTTAACACAAATTATCCTTTAATCTTGATCTTTTTCAAGTAGAATTTTATGGTATACTTAACGTCACATATTCTCAATTTTAACACCAAGAAAATACAACTTTCTATTCCACTATGTACTCAATGACTAATCTTTTTCTTAGTGGTATTATAAATCAATATATGAGGTGTCATTTAAGAATAAATTTCAAGTTTAACTCGTAGATATACGAAGATAAAAACATAAAATAGAAATATAAATTTATGAATATAAATTTCAAGTAACTTATAGATACAAAGTAGATAAAAGTACAAGAAAATGAACATTTAAAAAGAATATGTCTATTAAAAGATATATGTGTCTATAATTATGAAAGTGGTCTAATGTAAGTCATATATCTCTTGTTTCGAGACATTTAACCCTTGTTTACCACACTTGATCCAAAAGACCCAGACCTTTTTTGCAACTTGACGTCATTTTTCTCAATTGTTCAACTTTGATTATTTTTTAAACATATTGAAATTTTATTTAAAGCTATAAAACTTATATAGTCTTTTAAAGTAAGTATTAAAGAAGTTTCAAAAAAATGTTGATGTAAATCTATGCAATAGTTTTTTTTTTATAACAATTTTTCTCGTTCGGGTCCTTTGGACCCGAGTGTGGTAGTAGTATATGTATATATGTAGTATATGTTTGAGTGTGTGAGATAGTGTCCCATAAGATAAATAAAACCCGTTAGATTGAGATCTTTTGACTGAATTTAACGATGTTACACTTCGATCCGCCAGACGATAGTGTTTTGTGTTTTTATTACTTTCATTTTATTACTTTAGTATTTTTGTTTGTTTGTTTATTATTATTTTGGTACTATTTGTTCTTATATATATATATATATATATATATTATAATTTTATTATTTTAATACTTTTTTCTTTATTTTTATTTTCAAAAGCATAGCTCGTTAGTGTTAAAAACCAATTAAATTAGTATGTGTGTGATTTTCTTATAATATATATTTTATTGTTTCAATTAATAATTTATTATAAATTAAATAATTAATAATTAATATAAATTATATAATTATGTAATTTAATATAAATATAAATAATAATAATAATAATAATATAATATAAATATAATAATAAATATAAATAATTTATATAATATAAATTATTATAAATTAAATAATTAAATAATTAATATAAATTAAATAATTAATAATTTATTCTTTTATTTATAATTTATATTTGATTCTTTGATTTGTCTTTCATTTTTATTTTTATTTTCAAAAACATAGCTCGTTAGTGTTAAAACCCAATTAAATAAGTATGTGTGTGTGTGTGATTTTCTTATAATATATATTTTATTATTTCAATTAATAATTTATTGTTTTATTTATAATTTATATTTGATTCTTTGATTTTTCTATTATTTGTATTTTTATTTTCAAAAAACATAGCCAATTAGATTAGTGTGTGAATATGCGTGTAATTAAGAACTCTCGTTTGAATGATAAGATTGTAACCATTGTGGCCATTATGTTACCTTTAATTAGATTCTTTCGTTTCTCGAGGTAAAATCGATCGAGATTTCATGAGGGTTGAACGCCCTCGTTTTCTGGTGGTTAAAACGACTGTTAGGATGATTCATTGTAACACCCCTTCCCTCATCCCTCTCCCTCATCCCTTTCCCTCATAATGTATAAGTGTACTTACTTTGAATAGATATGTATCTATGTGTGTCTATGTACTATGTGTGAATGAAGTGTATGTACACTTGTATGTATGTATATGTGTAGGTTGGTGTGTATGTGTTGTATAGGTGTAAAATGTCGATAGAATTTGGTCGAATGACCAAGTAAATTTATTTTCTATTTGTTGCTTGTTAAATTATCCTTTCGTTATTATTTATGTTATTATTATTTTTTTTTTTTTTTTTAAATAATTAAAAGAGATACGTGTTTTTATATTTACAGGTGGTGATAGTCGGTAATGGTGCTGTGGGAAAATCATCAATGATACAAAGGTTTTGTAAGGGTACTTATACTAGGGATTATAAGAAGACAATTGGTGTTGATTTTCTCGAACGTGAAATAGAGTAAGATATTATTTTTAATATAAGGAAAATTATTATTTCAATAATAATTAATATTATAATATTATTATTTTTATATAATATTTTTATTTTTATATTTAGGATAGATGGCGAAGACGTGAGATTAATGTTATGGGACACAGCAGGTCAAGAAGAGTTCGATGCCATAACGGCAGCTTATTATCGTGGAGCTCATGCTTGTGTCCTTGCATATTCTGCTACAGATAGAAATTCTTTTGACGCTATTCCCTCATGGAAATTAAAGGTACATATCAACATCCACATATCCACATCCACATCCACACATTCACATCCACACATTCACATCCACACATCCACATCATTACATCCACATCCACACATCCACATACACACATCCACATCTACACATCCAGATCCATACATCCACATACTCACATCCACATCCGTATACACAAATCTACATCCACATACGCATATCCACATACACATACGCATATCCACATATAGATACGTATATCTACATCCACATACGCATATCCACATCTACATACACACATACATTCAGGTACAAAATGAGTATGGTATAAAACGTCAGATAATTCGGTGTAAAACGAAGGCTTCGTTACTGAAACGATAACGGTTATGTGTATCCTCTAGCACAATCCGTCCACGAGAAAGGAGATAGAAAGGATGGAGAACACGCGTATATCTGTCTCGTCGCGATTCGCATTAAACGTTCAAGCAAACGTGAGCTTCATTCTCGAGAATGCGCGATTATCTACATCCTTTTTCTCTTCAAGATATATACACATATAACACACTCATATAATTTCGCCTTCTTTATACATATAGTATATGTATATATATATATACGTGTATAATGTATTAAGAATCTTTATCCTTCCTTTCAACGCATAATTATTTCATACAATCTTATATATGTCAATATATTATTTACATATGCATAAGGATATCTTTTTTTTTTGTAATTTAATTTAGAAAAGAAAAGATGAAGGAATATCTATCTATTTTTTTTTTTCAATTTAGATTTGTTTTTTTGTGTGGTAAATTGATATCTGTGTCTATATATTTATATATTGTTTGTTATAAAATATTTAAATTATATTTATTATATTATATAATATAAATCTTCTTTGTATATATGTAAATTACGTGTCACGTTGTTTGTCCGCAATGGACTCCTAAACTAGTGAACCGATTTGAATAAAATTTTATACACTGTGTGCAGTTATATCCAACTTGAAAGATAGGATAGTTTATATCTCAATTTATAATCGAATTATTTGTTTATTAACAAAGAGTCATGATTATCTCTGTTAGTTCGATAAGATTCTAACAGATGGCTGTATAAGGTAAATTCGTTGACTTAAAGACGTGTGTATCGGACTGTGATTGACTGATTGTGTATCGGATTGATTAAATATTAATAATTAATATATTATATAATTTATACGTATATAATATTTAATTATTAATATTTAATATATTCTTCTTATTTTATTTTATTTTATTTTTATCATACACCGTTATAACGACAAGTGACGACACTTAAAAAGTTGAATCATTTATTAGGTTCTTAATCAAAAAAAAAAAAAAAAACTAAAAAAGAATTCCCCCCAAAAAAAAGAGAGTGAGAGAGAAATAATTTTTGTTGATGACACATCAACCTGTAAAGATGTATAAAGTTAACGTGTTATTGCAAAATTTCCATTACGTGTACTTTTCATATCAATTTAATATCATTTTTTTTTTTATCACTCTG